GGACCAGTTGCGGTGCGCCGGCGTCATCGCCGCCATCCGCATCAGTCGCGCGGCGTTCCCGAACCGGCTCTCCCTCGTCGAGTTTGCCAAACGGTTTGACGTGATCTGTCCGTCCAAGTTGAGGCATGCCGCCCCGGCCGTGATGGTCATGGGGTTGCTGGAAAAGTTGCTAGGGAAAACCACTGACTCGACTCAAAACGCCAAGTTTGCCATCGGCAAGTCCAAAGTGTACTTTAGCTCGGGGCTGTTGCAGCATTTGGAAGACCAACGGGCCGTCGTATTGCGCACCCAAGCCACCATCATCCAAGCGCACATGCGCGGATATGCCAAGCGAAAGCAGTTCCTAGCACACAAGGCCGCCGCCGTCTTGGTCCAGTCGGTGGTCCGCATGCACACGTCCCATCGGCAATTCCGCGTTATGAAGGCGGGCACGGTGCTGCTGCAGACGCGGGTTCGCGGCTGGGTCGCTCGGCGCAAGTTCCGCGTGGCACTGGCCAAAGACCGGCAACGAAAGGCCGAGTTGAAGCGGGCCGCCGAAGCGAAAGCTCGTGCTGAAGCTAAAGCTCGCGCCGACGCCGAGGCGGCCGCTGCTGCAGCCGCGCGGGCGCAAGAGGACAAAGAAAAGGCCCGGGCACTGCATCATCAGACTGAAACATCGTCGCATTATGACCACTCAAACCAAGCCGACGACGACGAACCCGTGGACACGAGCTCCGAAGGTAGCGACGGAGATCGCCTGTCGGCTGGATCCCAGAGCATCTTGGCGTCGGCAGCGGCTCGCGTGGCCGAGGCAGAAGCAGCGGCAGTGGAAGCGCAAAAGGCCGCGATGGCGGCGCTGACCCATAACCGCGTGATCCAGGCAGAAAACGAAGCGCTTCGAGCCAAGATGGCGGCGTACGTAGCGGAACACGCGGACGCCGAGTTGCTCCGGGAGAATGAACGGCTCAAGCACCAGGTGCTAACGTTGCAGAGCAAGTTGGTGCGAGCGCAGGAAGTGTCTTTGATTTCCGCCAAGGTCGTGGACAGCCGACTGACGTTCCGCGAGGGCCGCCAGTTTGTCGAGTACAAGCTCCAGATTGAAACCAACAACCGCGGCACGTTGTTTGTGTGGCACCGGTACAGTACGTTCCGAAACCTGGCCACGACACTGCAGACCAAGAACGGATACCGCCGCAAAGACATTCCGGACCTGCCCAACAAGCAACTGTTTGGGTCGCTTTTGTCGGATAGATCGATCCAAGAACGAATGGACAAGCTCAACCAGTTCCTTGAAGCCGCCACCATGACAGACTACCTCCAGTGGGGTATCCGCGTCGACCAAGACACGTGCGTGTACAAGCGGCGCACGCGGAGCTCGTCCGGCGCCGATGGCCGCGACTCCATGTCCCTCCGCGCCACTGACATCCGGGAGAGCATGGTCGTGTCAGCGTCGGACGTGCCGTCGCCGCGGGATTCGTCGCGGCAGTCCATGTCGTTGCGGGAATCCCTCTTTGGCCGTCGCAAGTCGTAAACGTTTCTGCCGTTGTTGCCGCTTAACCTACTACTATATAAACAACCACACCAGTACGTGCGTACAGTAGTACTAACTAGTAGTACTATGAGTTGAGGTGTGGTGTATGTAGTACATACTAGTGACGAAGCAAGCAGCATGGACACAAGAAGCGGGAACGTTGACTTCCAAGGGGGTAATATTAGTAATACACTTTACAGTTAGTATGCAAACATGAATTCGAGCAACGTTAATACACTTTGCCAGTACGAGTAGTACCGGTACTAGTACTACTAAATCAATACACAGGAGTGAAGGTCGGACGGAAAATGCTGTAGTAGTACTACTAGTACTAGTACATACTACAGTCACGTTTGAATTCCAAATCGTGCGTTCGGATTCCAGCGCGGCAATATCATGGGATATTGGCAAGGTGAATACGAGGACAATGGGTGGCGTGACTACGTGGACCATGTCATTTCCAGTCGCCATGGACAAGCCATGCGAGACTACGAAGTGACGGACGAGGACAAGCGCCAAGTGGAGCACCTGCTGGCCGTGCTGCACGACGACATGGCTGACGAATCGTTCGTGTACCACACCCCATGCAGCGAGTTGTCGTTTGAGTACAATACGCCTGGTACGATAGACATCTTGTCTATCCATGAACATATGCGTATAGGTCCTCAGAAGAAGAAGAAGCGGCCTGGTAGCTGCAATAGCAGCAAGGTCAACAACACGAGTTTCTTCCCCGACTACACCTCCCAGGAACTACAGCCTTGCGAGGCCGATAACGACAAAGTCGCATCGAGTTTATGCCAGCGCCTCGCGGATCTATCCCCGATCACGATGCACGGCATTGCGTCAGTTGCCCAAAAGTTAGACTTCGATCGAACGTTGAGTTTCGACGACGCTGACGATGGCGGCATGAACCACCTGATGGCCGGCGGCGACGCGATGGACGGTGTCGAACATGATGCCTCCGTGACAGAACTCCATGCAGCCGTTCGTCCGAGCTACGACAAGGACGACGTCAACATGGAGGAGGCAGAGCAGATCGAAGAATTCGAAGAGTTGGATGTCCAGCAGCCCCCAGACGAAATCGCGTCGGGCATGGAATGGACCATGTTGCTCGATCATTTCGACATTCGTGATGTGGCTTCGGACAAGGAATCGCCTGTGGCACTTGATGACGTGCCAACCCAGCGACGGCACTCTGGAAACGACTTTGACTTTGCAACAGATCGAAAACTCAAACCACCCCCACGGCGGCGACGACGCCTTCGAGTGCCCGACACCCCCCCCCCGTCCAACGCCAGCGACGTGAGCTTTGGCGGGGCTTCTGACACATCTCCAGCCAAACAAGCAAGCCATACTCGACGCCAGCCAGTCCCCCCCTCGTCGCTCATGTGCAGTGACATTTCAAGCATTGACGACTCGTACACATGTTCACGTTTAGGTCAGTTTGTGTCGCGGGCATATACCGTACTGGTTGTCATGGTGTGATATTATATAGAAGATGACACCCCGCCTTGTTCGACGGTCGAGTCCACCGCGGGTCTCCATCTCGCCCGCGTGAGCAGCGGCACAGGGTCCGACGTCAAGCCGCTGACCCTGCACGGACACCAACAGCATGCCGTGGAATGGATGCAGTCGCGCGAACAGTCCGCAGCCAAGCCATTTCGAGGCGGTATTCTAGCCGACGAAATGGGGTTGGGGAAGACGGTGTGCTGCCTGTCATTGGTTGCGTCGACCAACACTCGGCAGAAGAAGCAGCAGCGGAAGCGACCAACGCTCATCATCACGCCGCTGAGCTTGGTCCATCAGTGGGAACAAGAAATCAAGGACAAATCCACGCTCAGCGTGGGGCTTTACCACGGCGCGAGCCGCAAACGGTTCCACAATAGCCACGAACTGTACGCGTTCGACGTTATCTTGACCACGTACGACACGCTGCGCATCAAAGAAGCCGCGTACACTCGCCCGACCTTGGCCGCTGTGCGTAACGCTGTCGCAGATTACATGCTCTTGCTGTTGACATGTGACATTGGTTTTACCCTACATCATAAGTTTGGTCTTACACGATGAGATTTCGGAGATGCAATATTTGGTTGGCTAAAATATCCTTTTGCCGATTTGTGCTTGTGTCGATTTATTTATATGGTCGGGTGGATTTAATATATTTGCGCTCTTTACGGGTAGTTTCGAACAACCTCCAACAACTAATATGTATATTTGCTTTACATATATATACACGATCGAGACAAGAAGACAGTGTCGCAGGTTTATTTTGTATATATTATTAATTTTAATTTAGAAAAATATTAACCGAATGTAACGTGTAGGCATCGTCACGACGGTGGATTCAAACCAAGCGAAGCCGAGATGGAAAGCCGTTGGCGTCGAAATTGCACAAAGTATACTGGGAGCGAGTGATCTTGGACGAAGCACATTTGATTTCGAATTCTGTCACTGCCCGGTATATAATACAAGTCATATTGTTTATATATATATATATATATATATATATATATGCGATGCGTTCAATCAATACATTATGGTTGTCGTTGTGGTGTTGGTTAGAGCCCAAGCCGCGTGCCAGTTGTCGGCCCGCGCACGGTGGTGTGTCACGGGCACTCCCATTCAAAACCGCCTCGACGACGTCCACACCCTGTTTCGGTTCCTCGGGCTCCCCGCGGTCGAAAGCGACGTCCATCTGGAGCAACTTCTAGAGCAATGCATGCTAAGACGACTCAAGACGGCGTTGCCTGTGCCGCTGCCAACCAAGACCGAGCACCTGCTCAAACTCACATTTGCGACCGACGCCGAAATCGCATGGTACGCCGCTGTCCGCCAATCCACTCGAGACCAAGTGCACGAGCACCTCCAGGCTCGGCGACCAGGTCGCCACATCTTCGAGCTGCTGCTGCGGCTTCGTCAGGTGTGCGACTCGCCGCGCCTCGTGCCCCAGGACCATACATCGCTGTCGACGGTGCACATGTCGACAAAGATGCACGTGCTATTTGATCACCTCCAACGCGCCAAGAAAGAAGGCGCCGCCGTGCTCGTGATATCTCAGTGGACGTCGTTCCTCGACATGATTCAAGACCAGCTGGACGTGACCAACCCCGCAATTCGCTGCGGGCGCCTCGACGGGCGCATGTCGGCGGCGGTATGTATACTACCGATGATGTTGATCATGTGATGATGGTGATCCAGATATTAGTATTTCTTTTACACTGTTAATTGATCATCGAAAGAAGTGTAACTTTGCTTGGAAAATTGTAAACTTGACCGTGTTAATTACCGCAAAACGTAATACTTTTACGAAGTACGTTCTAATGGAAGAAGCAGCCCTGCATTTCAGCTACATGCATCAAGTTTCAGAGGTGAAATTGGATTTGTACCGACGAGATTCGAACGTTCTGCTGAGCCACCTCTCTTAAATGTATCAACAATTGATCATTTATGTTACCCAAAACTTGGAGATTTTTCGCCAAATCTATCGGTTCTTCTTTGAATTTTATATGCAAAGTGATGTACTAATTACAGTCTCACGCGAATCAAACTTGATGATAATAGTTTGCTGCAATCTGATTGGCTCAATCCTTCTGCCGATGATTCTTCTGTGCATTTAATTTGGTTGTGTCGATGATTCATTCATTATTCTCCCATGTCACTCCAGTTTAGAATATAAACACATAAACAATATGCGATAGAGTCGGCACGACGCGGTGCAGCTATTCCAACATACCAACCAAGTTGACGTGCTGCTCATGAGCTTGCGATGTGGTGCGCTGGGGCTGAACCTGACCAAGGCGCGGTATGTGTTTTTGATGGAGCCGTGCTGGAACCCGAGCATTGAGGCGCAGGCCGTGGATCGAACGCACCGCATCGGACAAGCGCATCCCGTGCACGTGTATCGGTTCCTCATGGAGGTACATTTATTGTACTTTAGTATACCTACAGATGTATGCAAACAATCACACATACTAGTACTGTATATGCGACATGGTCATGATATGGATGTGTGTGTATATGTGACACGGGGGGGGATACTATGGTAGAACACGATTGAAGAAAAGATGTACGAGTTGCAGCAACACAAGCGACGATTGGCGTCAACGGTGCTCAACGCCAAACAAACCGCCGCCGCACGGCGCACGTCCCACGACTGGGCGGCTCTGATTGCATGATCAGCATACACATGCAAGAAGAATGAATGGTCAGTGTAGGCGACAGATGGTATGTACCCCCATGCGAGATTTGGGCAGACCCAAGTCGATGGCGATGGCGGCATTCGTACGGTAGAAGTACAAACATGTAGAGGAGACTCTTGGCTGTCATATATCTGGCGCATGGGCTACACTTTGTAAAAAGTACCAACAGATCGATCGTACAATAAAATATACTAGTACACCCGTCGCTTGTACGTTACTAGTAGTACTAGGGTGTCGATACTATTCGGTTTCCAATTCTACTTGGAACACGTCGAGCGAGGTTGGGCTGTGGCACAAACACACATAATATATACAAACATGTCTAGTAGTAGAATACATTGATATTGAGCGAGATATAGAGAGACGTGACCAAGTTGCAAGCCAACGAGTATGATGATATATAGCACGGATGGACGGACACTACACGACGCGGCGCTTGTACACGATGGTCTCGGCGTCCACCCGGATGCCCCACTCTAGGTCGTCTGTGTGGGAAATGAAGTCGAGAAATCGATTGAGTTTGCGTATTCTCTGGTCGATCAGCGACTTGTCGTGGTGCACGGGCTCGCCAGGGTCACTGAGTCGCGGACTGCCGGCCAATTGTAGCGATTTTTCCAGCTCATGGAAGGTGCCGTAGCGCCGCCAGATTGAGTACGTGCACAGGCCGTGCATGTTGGAGAGGCACTCGAGCTGCGCGTTGTACTTGATGGAGCATTGGCCTTGCGCATTCTTCCCGCTGAGGCGGTACCCCTTGACGGCCACCGTGATGAGCGACACCTGGTGGTCTTCCGGCGCCGCTTGCATCAGTTGAAAGTGGCTCAGGTGCTGGTACTCGTCGGTCGCTGGCTTGGTCGCGCGCTTGAACACGCACGAGTCCTTGTCGATGCGAATGCCCCACTCCAAGCTCGGCTCGGTCGTCGCTGTCTCGAGGAACTGGTTGAGTTGCGCCACCCGCTGGCTGATCTGCCCGCCCGTGAGCTGGTTCGGCTGCAGCGGCGACGCCGGCAGCGCATCGTGCAACTCGAGCGAATTCGCCAAGTCGCGGAACGTTGAGTACCGCCGCCATACTTGGAGGGACCCGTGCGTGGACGTCTCGATGACGACGCAGTATTGCACGCACTCGCGCTCGTCGTTGGTGCCCGCGTGCACGGTCTGGATGCGGAAGTCCACGATTGATGCTTTGAGGAGCGACATCTCGGACGACGATGACGGCTCTTCGTGCGACACCACGCCCGAGTCGTGGTTCACTACAGACGACGACGACCGGTGATACCCTGTGTCGGAGGTGGTCGACTTGTTGATCTTGTACACGACCGTGTCGGCGTCGACGCGAATGCCCCACTCGAGCGACGACGCCATTGCTTGCCGCAGGAACGCGTTGATCTGGTCCATCGTCGGAGCTTCGTACGACGGGTAGTCAAACGGAGGCTGCCCTTGATGCAGCTGCTGGATCGTGAGCGTCGTCGACAGGTTCAGGAACGTCTTCGACTTGTGCCACACCGACAACTGGCCGCGTCGGTCCGTCCAAATGATCAGCTTAAACTCCGTGCGAGGAATACCATCCTTGGACGTCGTCACGCGTACGTCCACGACCTCGGCGTCCAGGATTGCGATGAGCACCGCGTTCTCGTTGTCGGCGCCGCCCATGACGCACAAATGCTATCAGATTTTTAAAAGTACGGCGGTGGCTGTACCATTCATCTATTTCATCTATTTTTTCTTAGCAGCCCTGCCGCCGGATGCGAACAAAAGTATGTTGTATGACTACTACACTGTTGGTTCCACCTCGAGTCTCCGTGACTAGAGTGACAACTGCCATACATACCCGTGCAAGTGTATATCGCCGACGACTGGCGTTCTATTCACACGGCAGATCCAGCTACATGGACGTCTATAAAAGAATGAAGAGGCCAGTTCAAATGTAGTAACGATTATGGGGCTACTACTACAGGGTGGAATTGTGGGCTCGCAATCCGTCGGAACCTGCTACAGTGTATGCATGTAGACATCCAAACAATCATGCGCACGACTGCTCGCTCGGTTGAGCTGCTCCTGGCACGACTCGACATGAAGAGGTACAATATTAACAAGCCATCGTGCTGGAATCATGCAAGAGGGTTTCAGCACGATTTCGCATCCCCAGGAGTCAGCAATCGCATCAACAGTACCCACTGGTTGATGACCTCCGTTGACGTCGGTGGCGTAGGACAGATTGGAAGACACCCTTGTCCTTGTGTGATCGTGCAGTGAGAGGGAGCTAGCTCTCTTCCTTGTCATGGCCCAAAATGTATTCGCTGCTGATCCACGACCCGTTGAAGTTAATGTATGGCACAACGTTGCGAAACCTATACATCAGTCATTTATTATTTATTTCGTTTCGTGTCAACGTGTGCAATCTGAGAAAAATGCCAGCACTCGTCGAAACCAGCTTTCACCTGTCAATCTCCCAAGAGCTTCTTCCGACGTACGCCCGATGTCGCAGTAAAAGCAACGCTAGTAGTATTACCACATGGACATCTGCAGCAGCCCAACTTGTCGCTCACTTGTCACGCAAACCAAGCGTTGAGCTGGGTTTGGATGACCACACTAGTATGTACTTCGTACATTGTTGTGCATGTCACAGAAGTCGGTCACGATTCAACTACTTACCCGTACATACATATCCATGACGGTGTCTATGTACTTCGAAGTATGTACTTGATGGACAGTTGCAGAAAACGATGTCTGTCCTGAACCTCCTAACTACTTACTACTCATCCTTGCGAGGGCTAGGAATCGATTTCCGCCACGAGTTTCGGGGTGGCGGGTGGTCTGCATCGATGGCGTGTCGGACGTACGCGCCAGACTCTCCCGCATCGTGATGCTTCTGCGCGTCGACCGAGCTCCGCGTGTTCGTCGATGCCGAAGTCCCAGGAGAGGTAGTCGAACGCAGCGGCGATGCATTCGTTTCTCGATGCGGTCTTGTCTGATGGGGGGGTGGGTTGAGCAGCGTCTTGGAGGGCAGCTTGGGAAGGTCCTGGTGCGCACGTTCGTACTTGGCGTGCAAAGTTGGGACCATCCATAGTGACCAACGGGTTGTACTGGTGCCCCCCACACACACAACGTCCCGCGGTCGTGTGTTTCGATCTGGAGCAATTACTCAACAACCTGATGCTTGGTTGGGACTCAGCTATCTTCTACAATCGCCGCCGAAATCAGCGACACTTGATGTGCCATCGCTGACTCGCTCTGCTACGCCAGCCCTTGGCCTTTGAGTCGTACATATGTTGTTTGCTCTCGGAGCAACTCGGTGTGTCTGGCCAAACATGCAGCCAAGGTGCGTCGCAGGGCTTTTGATTTCTGCCGTCAACAAAGCAACATCGATGCTTCGTGGGATTATATGGACGATGCTTCCAAGTCGTGTGCCCCCCCACTGCTGGATACTCGTTGAATTGCGCAACGACATTGACGATTGGCTCGTTGAGAGGTAGAGGAACTTCAGTAATTGCGCCACACCAACACCACCTGGCCTCGTCGGCTCATCTAAATGATCATCTAGTAGTGCTGTCTGTGGACGTCGAGTGATGAACGTCCTCGAGTTCGGCGTCCATGATCGAGCGAGCTACTGCGTTGTCGGCGGTGCGCATTCGCGACCGCACGAACGAAATTTTGGATACTAGTAGACTACTATAATACTGAAGTACGTACTGGTATCCAAAATTTCGTTTGTAGTACTACTACTAGTAGTTCTACGTATAGTAGTTGTGTTTATCTGAAAATAACCAACTAACGTTACTATGAATATTAACCCTAACGGACGGGAGCTTTTTCTGCGTGATATATGGGTATGTACTGTATCCACTATTATGAGTAGAAATAGGTTGTTGTACTGTAGTATTGTTAATAGTAGTACTAGTATGAATACTTTAGTAACAGGAATACTAGCTTGCTTTGACTTGTCGGTTCGTTCCTCTCAGTCGTTGGGTATGAATTATGCGTGTTGGTTTACTTGTCCAACCCAACTCGACACAAAACCACATGCATCCTCAACTTGTTTGTTTCGGGGTATTCCTAGCTAGTACTACTATGAATACTAGTACTACTATATAGTTACCACTCGGTTTCGTGGTAATCCTTGAAAAACAGACCAAACGCGTTCTTGTGCGTGTTGTATCCGACAAACACTGGGTCGAGAATGCGCGCCGCTACAAAAGAAGCCCACATTCGTTGTTCTCAAGTCGATTTAATAACCAAATCGACCGACCAATCAAAAGCCAGAACACGTTCTTCAAGTGGCCAATCAAACATCATCGAATTCGACTGTGACTTCAAATACTGTGCTTGCTCAACATTCAATACATGGACAGATGGAGTTGCTGGGAATCAGCGCAGATATCGACAATAAGTAGACGCTCAAAGCAGCAGCACACTATGCTTGATTCCGACACACGTGTACCGGCGTCGATTTCGTCGATGGGCGTTTGAAAGTTGGCCGTCTCCGCGTACTTGTGCGCCTTTTCCAATGGGTTTTCGTCGTTGATCCACCTAAAACCACCAAAAACTCACATGTAAGAGAGACCCCCAACCTCTCCTAATGAACGTACCCCGTGTCGACGGAATTCATGTAGATGCCGTGCTTGCTCAGCTCTTCCGCGCACGTCCTCGTCATCATGTTAAGCGCCGCCTTGGCCACTATCGTCGTCAAGTTCGTTCATTACGGATTGGTTAAACAACTACAGTAGGATATTCGAAATAACGCACTGTTCGTGTGGGGGTGGTTGGGGGTCTTGTAGCGGTAGAACTTGCCTTCCATGGCACTGACGTTGATAATGTACTTGGCTTTGGCGTCGGTCTTCTCCATGAGTGCACGCAGGCGGCTGTTCATGATGAACGGTGCCAGCGTGTTGATCGCAAATACTTCGGCCACTTCGGGCGTCGTCACTTGGCCCATTTTTAACACCCACGAGTTGGTCGTGCGCAAATCGAGCTGCTGCCCATTCACGTCCGTGCGTCCTACACACGTAGAAATGACACTCAAACCACGAAAAATATATATATATATTAATATATATGTCATCCATCGCAACTCCACCATAATATGTATTCCAAGCTTTTCGACCGATGGATCCACAACGAGACAATAGACAGTATCCCTTTGCAAACGAATACTAGTACTTCGAAATACATAGCAACACGAGGCCAAAAATCCATTGCCCATGACTCGTCTTGCTTTTTTTAAAATTGCTTTTATATTTGTATTGTGCTTTTCAGAACCAATTTTGCATTTTTTAGAGATTGCTGCTGAAATCGCCAAAAAAATCGAGCAAAAGTAGTATGATTGGCTAAATAGAATGAAGATTGCAATATGATTGGTTAGAAGATACAATGTGGTCATGTCGTCACACAGATATCCCTGAGATCTTGTTTGAATATGAGATATTTTGCAGGTCCGGCCATTGATTCATTCAACCAACCGCTAGAGGAAATAATTTGGAGTAGAACGAACTGACAATACCTTGCGGGAACAGCGACGACGACATGTCGTGGTCTTCCAGCAGCATCGGCACTTGCGACTTCAACGCGCTGGGAATGGATGATGGCATATGGGTCGCGCCCGTGGCGGCGGCAGACTTGCGGCCGTCGGCCAACATGGCATCATGTCGATGCAAGGTGTCCGTGAACGCGTGATGCTGCTGCACAGTCGTCTGCACATCCGGGGACAGCTGCGCGAACGGCGTCGCTTCCTTCGGCATCATGTGCGCGTAGTACGTGGTCGGCCGCCGAATGGTCTGGCATGCGTTGTGCACTACAACGTCCAGACGAGTGTACGTTTGCAGCACATGGTCGAGAAAGTGCTCCAAATGAACCAAGTCCCTAGCCCCGATCATCAATAAAGTGCTTGTGTACCAGAGCCTAATATTTATATATATATATATATATATTTACCGAAAATCAATGCCAAACACATGCAGCCGGTGCTTGAACGTGGCATACTCAGGATGGGCCGCATACCGTTCCGCTGTGTCGTGCGGAAACCGACTGGTGGCAATCACAGTGGCACCTGCCAACAGAAGTTTCAACGCCGTGTGGTACCTACAACAGTGTCATTATATCTATATATATTATAACATAAATATATATATATATACATATATAAATTGTAAAATCAGTTCGTAGTTGGAGTCGCCAGTAGAATCGAGTAAGTAGATTTAGCAAATCGATTTGAGAATGAACTAGCCAATCAAATCACGTTCTGTAGATTTTTGCCCAACAGATTCGCCCTGGGGATTGGCAAAACCCCTATATTATAATACTAAATACTATAGAGTATAAAGTGTTCTATACAAGCATACAATTTGGGCAAATCTATTTGAAAGCTATTTTGCCATATGTCCAAGTTTGGGTGAAAAGGACAACATATATCATATAAAGAGGAACGAATCTAATATATACATAAACATACAATCTAAAAAGGTATAGATATATGATTCCAGTCGGAACAACGTTGCGAGTACCCGATCTTGACGCGAGCACCAGTTACCAGCGCCACTTTGCCATGCAAATCGGCCGATTGCATTCGCTTGGTGTAGTTGACTTCCGCACAGGCTACGAATGAGAGAGTATGACTAGTTTCTTGCAAACATCCCAATAAAAATTCACTTTTTGCACACGTACTGGGGCACAATTGGTCGTAGAAGTGATGCAGCGCTTCATAGCGGACTTTGCACGTGTAGCACGAGCGCTGCTTGTTCAATTCCACCTTGGGAACGATGACAGGGTGGTGTCCATCTTCGAGCAGGAGCGTGGGGGCGGATTCGTCGGCCGCGCCGTCGGCAATCAGCGGCAGGAAAGCGTTCTCTTCTTCGCCCTTGCCTTGCTCCAGCAGTTCGTTCAGTTTCTCCACACGAGCCCGACGCAACGTCGCGCTGTTGATGTACTTGTGGTCGTTCATTTTGCGCTTGATGTTGCGCGCCTCCTTCTCGCGCCGCAATTCTTGGTCTTCCAAGTATTTCTTTCGGCCTTTGCCTTTGAACTTGCGGCTCTCCATGTAGTCGGACACTGGAGCCAACACCTTGCGAAAGTTGCGCATCGCTGGGAGCTCCACGACGTTCATGTCCGTAGCAATAGCCGCAAGAACCTACGGCATCAGGTGAAACGAGGATATGGTGGAAGGAGCAAATACCTCAAGACACACGGCCAGCTTGTCGTCAGAGAACGGCAGGAGCGTTGACGATTCCGCCGCTGCTTCATCCACGTGGCCAGACTCGGTCGTGTCCATCGTCGTGATGGCGCGCACTTGACTTGAATGGCAGGGCTGGAATTGATTCGTCTAAGTGCGACTTTTGATGTGTCCGTTTAAATTCGATAAATTGGCCAATCACAAGCGACGACGAAATGGGCTGTCTCGATTTCTCAAATCGCTTCGGAAAAACTGGAATGAAGCTTGGAAGGATTGTGGCACTGGGCCTGCTGCTGGCGGCGTCAAGCACGGCCGAGCACGATCACAGCCATGTGCACAGCCATGATCACCAACATGACCACCATGATCATCACCACCATGACCCCCATGCCAAGAACCACCACCTTGACCAAGACACCGCAGTCGACGCGACATCGTCCAAGCAAGAGGAGGTGGTAGAAGTTGTCGTCGATGATGTGGGCCATACTCATCATGTAGACCATACATCTCGCGAAGAAGGCCATAGCCACCAACATGATGAAGACCACGGCCATTCCCACGATCACCGAGATCTTCGCCGCCCCATTCCCGGCCCAGTGGAATCGTCGGTCGCCCCTTCGGACCATTCTCACGAACACGCCCATGAACACTCTCACTCCCATGACCATTCGTCGAACAACCATGCGCACCACGGCCACGCGGACGCGGCGTCATTGCTAGAGGGGAAGCTCCCAACACCAAGCGACGACCATCGCTTCGACGCGTCGTTGTGGGCGGAAGCATTGTTCGCGACGGCATTGGTGGGTCTCGCGCCTGTGCTGTTGCTCTTCTTCATTCCGTTGGGTCGGGTGAACTTGGCCTCGCAACAGCCGCTGCTTCGCATCTTCCTCGCGTTTGCTGCGGGCGGGTTGCTGGGCGACGCGCTGCTGCATCTGTTGCCCCATTCGATTCCCACTGGTCATCACGATCATGACCACAGTCATGACCATGCTGAAAGTGAAGCAGGTCATAGCCATTCCGTGGCTGACTTGGCGCCGTATCTGTGGATGTTGGCGGGGCTCATGACGTTCTTGATGCTGGAAAAGTTTGTCCGAGCGCAAACCCGTGGCGGCGGACACGGCCATTCTCATGGCGGTCCCCGTGAAGAAGCAAAGAAGAAACCATCCAACAAAGCCGAGACCGAAGGGGGTCCCGTGATTGCCGCCGCCGCCTATTTGAATTTGGCGGCGGACTTTTCGCATAATTTCACCGACGGGTTGGCGATTGGGGCGACGTTTGTCCACGGCCGAAGTAGCGGGTGGCAGACGACGGTGGCCATGTTGCTGCATGAAGTGCCCCATGAGATTGGCGACTTTGCTATCCTCATTCAGTCGGGGTTCACGCGATCCCAAGCCATGTGGACGCAAGTGTACACTGCGCTTGGGGCAATGGTACTATTATGATTGGATATTGTGCTTTCAGCCTAAATTTGGACTTTTGATTTGCCAAATCCATGGATCGATTTTTGTACTGAATTTTGTACGTGATGCTCATCACAACTAATTGAAGTCACGCACCTCTAATTACTGTAAGTGTTGCTTGGTTGAACTGATGAGTTCCTGCAATCCGATTGGCTAAATGTTTCTGTCGATTCTTCTGCACATTTGGTGATGTCGATACATTCGGCACATCGCTTGACTAAACACAACAATATATATAAGATATTGTTTGAGAAGAATTGGATATCTATTTGATATTGTTTTTCTGATTGGAAATATATATATATGTATGAATTTGGTGGTTTGTGCAGGTGGGCACGGCGGTGGGGCTCCTGATTGAAGCGCAGACGGCGGCGTGGATCACGCCGTTTACTGCCGGCGGGTTTGTGTACATTGCATGCACGAGCGTGTTCCCCGAGCTGCTCGAGGATTCGTCGTTGCTCCAGTCGTTGCTGCAGTTGCTGGCCATGGCCACGGGAGTTGCGCTCATGCTGCTCATTGCGCTCTACGAATAAAGACAATGCTACCATGCTAATGCACCAGTCGACTTTTTATATATACACCATTGCTAGGAGTCTGCCGGTGACCAAATATAACAAAAAACAAAATAGTAGTCCATTTGTACTCCAATACTGTTGTTCGAGTACCAACATTATTCCTCGTTGCACATGTAATACTATGGCGAGTGGGCTGTAACCGCTGAAACCGGTTCGGATGTAACCGTTTCATGCCACCACCAGTAGTCGGCGGCTTTGACGACAGCGTACGCCGCGGGTCGTAGTAGGGACGCATGAATGGAATGGCGTCCAAGATGCGCAACCCGCGCGGCAATGCTGTGGCTCCTGGGGGAGGGCCCACCGCAGCCAACACCAAGAAGGCCAAGGCGGCAATCCCTGGTATGCACCGGTCGGCGAGCAAGCAGCGCGTGATGAACATGCAAGCGTACGACAAGGAGTATTTCGACCACAACCTAGGCCCCGGGCGCCGATCGAGCATCACGGCCAAGCCCAAGCACAGCCTCAAGACGATCAAGGACTCGAAGTTTTCCCGATCGTATCGTCAAATCAAACACAAAGCGCAAGACTCCAAGACGTACATTATCAACCCCAAGGACGCCAACAGCGTCAAGTGGGACATCTTTATGGGTATCTTGATCGCGTACAGCGGAGTCACGGTGCCGCTGGTCGTTTGTTTTCCGGGGTACATAGACACAGTTCTACCACTGTCCCCATGACATATGTTGATGTTTGGACTTTGTGTTTATTGTGCCCGTGATGATCGTTCGTGACAACCTACGTCCCCCCCGTAAAGGATCCATTCCCCCCCCCAATTCTTCGTCTTTGAATGGACTCTACAGTTAGTTTGGATGGGTTCTTGCATGCATGCCGTGTTCTAGAAGCCCCCCCTCTCCCCCCCGATGTCGTCGTCGCCTTCGATTAATGATGGCATGTATTTAGATTCCAAAACCAGTCGGACTGGAGCACCGTGAGCACGGTCGTCGACGTGTGCTTTGGCATTGACATTGTGCGCAACTTTGTCGTGGGGTACCACGACGAGCGCGACGAACTCGTGGTCGACCACGTCGACATTGCGAAAAAGTACGTGCGCACGTGGTTCGTCTTGGACGCAGTGTCGACCATCCCCATCGAGAGTATCATCAGCCTCATCGACCCCCAAGCGGACGTGTCGCACTCGTACGCATCCATTCAGCTGTTCCGCATCCTCCGCGTCACGCGCATCGTCAAGCTGGCCCGACTTGCGAAACTGCGCACGTTCTTCTCCAAGGTAGGTAGTTTATGTACAATACATACATATATACATATCCCCATGATCCGACCAACGACGGGGGAGACGTGGACAATCATATCGTCGCCGTGGTGTTGCAGGCCGAAGAAACGTTTGGCCTCAACGCAGGCGTCGTCCGCCTCGTTCGATTGATCCTGCTCGTGCTGTTTGTGTCGCACTTGCTCGCGTGCTTCTTCCACCTCCTCGGGCAGCCCAACGACCCCCCGAGCCACGAACCCCTCGACAACATGCCCGACTCGTGGCTCTGTACCGCCGACAAGCCCAAGCGCTGTCTCCGCGGGGAGACCGACTCGGTCCGGTACCTGTACAGCTTGTACTGGGTCATCACGACACTCACGGGGGTCGGCTTTGGTGACGTGATCATCGTCACCGCGTTCGAAAAGCTCTACGCGATCTTTGCCATGATCATCGGCGCGTCCGTCTTTGGGTTTGTGATCGGCAACATCTCGACACTGCTCGAGAGCATGGACAAGCGCGCGGCCATGTACCAGATGAAGATGATGCTGGTCAAAGACTACATCCGCACCCGCAATTTGCCCGTGGATTTGCGCGTCAAGCTTCGACGGTGCGGAACTCAAATATCTATAATATCCCTTCGAGTTGTTGTTACCCACCATTTACCGCCCTATATATACTAGTATGCTACTATATATAAATATACCGACATGTATATATATATATATATTGTATTGTATATCTTTAATTTATGTTTCAAAGAATGTATTTATATACATATTGTGTATTTCATGAGTATATATTATATACATTTAATTCATGTTTCGATATATATATATAATTGTGTGTTTGTCATGAAGATATCAATATACTTGTGTAATTCCGTTTAGGTACTTTGAGCACTACTTGTCGCGAGCGTCGTTGTTTGACGAGTCGTCCATCCTTGGGGAAATCTCGCTCAGTCTGCGCAACGAAATCGTCCACGAAACGTGCAAAGACATTTTTCAGTACGTACAGCACCCCCCCTCCTCTGATATATATATTGAACCATTTGATATATATATTATATACATGAACCCGACAATGTGACGCTAGAATCCCGGCGTTTTCGCTCATCAACCCCCAGTTTGTGATGGACATGGCAATCTGCATCAAGCCGCTGTTCCTGCTCGCCGAGTCCGTGATCGCCAAGGAGCACACGGTCGGTCGGGAGATGTACTTTCTGAACTCGGGTGTCGTGGCCATGTACAATAGCAGCCTCAACGGCAAGAAGGTGCTGCTGGAAGTGATGAGCGAGAATGCGTATTTTGGAGAAGCATCGCTGCTGTACTTTGCCCTGCGCGAAAACACGTTCCAGTGCATCACCAACTGCGACATGTACACGCTGCTCAAGGAGGACTTTGACGTGTTGGTCGAGGAGTACCCCGAGACGGAGGGCATCTTAATCGAGTTTTACGAGCAACGCAAGCGTTTGTATCAAGAGACGCTCAACATGACCGTGCAGCGGTATTCGGTACGTTGTATGGTGTTGTTGTTGATGATTGCGCTGTCATATATATATATGTATATTGGGGGGGGGTTACAGACCTAACATTAGGAGGTGCTTTGTGTGTCCATATGTACTAGTACTATGAAAAAATCAAGCACGACGAGTTCAAAATGTCCAAGTTTGAAGACCTGTGCCCGCATATCAAGGTGTGTTACAACGGCAAGTTGGCCGCGATCGAGCAACTCCCGATGGACATTCTCAAGAACATTGACTTTAACATTGCGCCCAAAGTGTCACTGTTCAACTCGTCATTGGCAAAGAAAGTGATTGTCGACGGTGGGTCGTATACGTCGTCGTTGTGTTGGGTCTAGTGTAACCATTATCATCATTCATGTTGCGATTGCAGGCATCAAGGACCAAGACCTGACGTCCAAGTCGTTGTCGGCGCAACTCGCCCAGATCATCGACCCCAACAACAGCAAAAAGCTGCAGTGGGACGTCTGGCTCGGGGTGCTCATTCTGTACAACGTGATCAGCATCCCCATCCAAGTGGCATTTCAGAGCAACACGGAAGACCAGCAAACGTTGGCGGACGTGATCAAGTCGGTACGACGCTGGAGCAGGCGACGTCCCCCCTTTTTGACATTCACCCCCCTGTATGTAGGACTTTGACATTGTCGTCGACTGCTTCTTTGCGCTCGACATTCTCCTCACGTTTCGCACGGCAGTGTACGACCTGTCGGGCAACATCGTGACGGCCCCCCGCCGCATTGCCACCCAGTACATGCGCATGTGGTTCTGGGTTGACTTTATTTCGACGTTTCCGTTCGGAACGTTCATCAACAACTCGGTCGTGGGCTCTGTCGACGTCTCGTCCAAGACAACGTACCAGAACCTGAAACTCATTCGGTTCGCGCGCCTCACGCGCCTCTTGAAACTCGCGCGGTTGCTCAAGTTCAACAAAAACTTTACCAGCGTCGAAGACGTGATCGACCTCAGCCCGGCCGCGTCCCGGGTGCTCATGCTGTTCTTGCAGGTACGAACACGACCACATACACTAGGGTTTAGTAGTGTTTACGTCAGTTGTTGGCTACCCCATGGCCTCTAGAAACGGCAGAGATACATGACTGTGTTTAACGAGCTTGTTTCTTGTGCCCCCATCTTCTCGACTTGGCAAGTCTGATTTGATTGTACCGTATATGAGCCCCCCCCCCGTTTGAACGATTGCATTTCTCGATTCTATAAAATCATACTAGTATACCTGAACAACAATACGTCCGTATCCCCCCTTGAATATAAACGGACGATCAACGGGGGTGACAGACTATGTGGTGTATGTAGGTGTGCATGATTGCACACATGTCGAGCTGTGCGTTCTTCTTTGTGGGGGTGACGTCGGAAGATTTGTACGAAGGGTCGAGTTGGATCCTCGACCAAAACCTAAACAACGCGACGCTCGGGGAAAAATATGTGACATCGTTGTACTTTGCGTTTACGACCATGGCCACGGTCGGGTACGGGGACATTTTGCCCATCACGCACCTCGAAGTCGTGTATGTGACGTTCTACATGCTCGTGGGGGCGTCCGTGTTTGGGTACATCATCGGCTCCATGAGCAGCCTCGTGGACCAAATGCAAACCAAAAACACGGTCGCCAAGGAGAAAATGGACCGCGTTAAGGTCCGTTTTGTTTGTGTGTGTGTCGTCGTCTAGTACATAAACTGGTGGTGGTGTAGGACTACATGAAGGAGCGCAAACTGCCCAAGCCCCTGTGTGCGCGCATCCGCCGGTACTTTGAGTTTTACATGACGCACAAGGAAATCTCGGACGAAAGTGCCTTTCTGGACGAACTGTCGGACGATCTGCGGACGCAACTGGTGCTCCATTTGAATCGAGACGTGGTCAGCAAGATCTCGTTCTTCTCGCATCAAGACGACGCGTGCATTTCGTACCTCATGGGTATTTTGTACCAAGAGTGCTGCACCCCCGGCGAATTTGTGTTTTACGAGGTAAACGACCATCCATTGTCATCCATCCAATAGACCGTGTCATTGTATACGTCATCCATCGAATGAGCATGCTATTGTATACGTAATCCATCGATTGGGCCATGCTATTGTATACGTAATCCATCGATTGGGCCATGCTATTGTATACGTAATCCATCGAATGAGCCATGCTATTGTATACGTCATCCACCAAAAGTGCAATGTCACTATTCAATCGACGGGATAATAAAGGGATTACAATATGTGGGGTGTACATAGGGCGAGTACGGGCGCCACATGTACTTTTTGGTCAAGGGCAGCGTCGAAGTGGTGATTGGCGCCGGCACGTCGAAAGAAATCGTGTGCAAAGTACAATCGCGTCGTCCTGATATATCGAAATATATTTTGGTGCAAAGGAATATTTTAACTCTGTGTATTACTAGGTATTAACGGAAGGATCGTTTTTCGGTGAGTTAGCCATGTTGCTCAGCTCCAAACGGTGCGCGAGCGTGCGCGCCAAGTCGTTTGGGATTTTGTACGTCCTGAGTCGCAATGGCATGGATCGCATTCGAACCCACTATCCAGGTAGGTCGTTTAGAGATATATATGTATATATGATATTGCTTTTTTTGTGGTGGTATATACAGAAATCTCGAGTCAAATCTCGCGCGAGATTCGCAGCAAACTGCTCAAGATCAAAATCGACACGCTGGCGCAACCCGACGCCAGCAATCTCGTGAGCCACTTGCCGATGGAAGAAACGTTCGCCGTGGAGATGGAGAAACCGATCGAGGACGCATTCGCCCTGATCGACCAAGTGCTTAACAAGCTCATGGTGTTCTACGGCGGGGGAGAAAAGGGCAAGCGCCGGTCCGTGGCGTGTGTCGTACAGCATTTGAAGAAGTTTGATTTTAACACGCAAACGTACGACGACGCGGCGGAGGCGAGCGGGCCGCGAAAGTCGGTGGCGCCGGTACGTACGCTGCCGGACTGTGGATATCGTTTTGACCGTTGGTTGGTTGTAGCAAAGTTTGGCGGGTCGATACATCAGCGGCAATCCAAAGGTTGCGATGGCCAAGGCAGGCAAAAAGGTAGCCCCGCCATGTATTGTTGAAAAGAGTGTGGTCAACTTAGATTGTTGGATGGTAGATTGCCAATATGAACAAATTTCTCATGTCCATGGGCGCCGACAAGATCAGCCGGTTTCAATCCATGCCGAGACGCAACAGTGCCATCACCACGAGCCAATCGCTGCGGGAAGTCCGAGAACTGGCGCGGCCAAACGACGCCGTCAAGGAAGTGGACGACCTCCCGTCCACGCCAAAGTACACGGAGCTCGACCATCAGTTCCTCAAACGCGACCCCACCGTGGGGCTGCTCCCCGTGTCACCCTGCCCCGGAGCTACCCACCCATACTAACTAGTATCCTGCCTGTTGTGCATTTACTTGAACACACTTTTCATGGCCCAAATAGTATGTAGTCGCTCATGTTTCAATGGCGAGGCAGTGTTTGTTCGTTACGTCCTGAAGTTCTCTTTGGCATAAGTACAATAGAACACAATGACAGAGCACTTTTCCTGGTGTATCGTGGGTGTTCGTTCATCCAGCCATGCACTAACTTTGTAGGTGTAGTTGTGGCAACGGAGTTCAATATAGGTACTACAACGTCGTACCGACTAGAATCCAGACGATCGTTTTGGATGATTTCACTTGGAAAACAAAGTGTCATATCGACATCTCATGTGTATTGTGCACTCATGGTTGGTTATATAAGTACGTACAACATTAAACCACAGAAGCTGGTGCGTGCCAATATGTATTACTTTTTGCCAAACGTTCGTGAAAACGACTGCCGGAGCGAGAACGATTCGCGACTGCTGGTGCTGCTAGTGCTGCTGCTCGTAGGGGCCATCGAATCCCGCGCGCTGTCGTCGTCGTACATGGTCACAGCCATGGATTCACGGGGGGGGCCTGCCATGGAGTCGCGACCGTCGGACGAGCTCCGCGTGCGCCGCTTGTACACGCACGTGTCTTGGTCGACGCGGATGCCCCACTGGAGGTAGTCTGTCATGGTGGCGGCTTCGAGGAACTGATTGAGCTTGTCCACGCGTTCTTGGATGAGTTTGTCCGAGAAGTTATTGAACATTTGCTTGTTGGGCAGGTCCGGAATGTCTTTGCGGCGGTATCCGTTCTTGGTCTGCAGTGTCGTGGCCAAGTTTCGGAACGTACTGTACCGGTGCCACACAAACAACGTGCCGCGGTTATTAGTTTCAATCTGGAGCTTGTACTCGACAAACTGGCGGCCCTCGCGGAACGTCATGCGACTATCCACGACCTTGGCGGAAATCAAAGACACTTCCTGCGCTCGCACCAACTTGCTCTGCAACGTTAGCACCTGGTGCTTGAGCCGTTCATTCTCCCGGAGCAACTCGGCGTCCGCGTGTTCCGACACGTACGCCGCCATCTTGGCTCGAAGCGCTTCGTTTTCCGCCTGGATCACGCGGTTATGGGTCAGCGCCGCCATCGCGGCCTTTTGCGCTTCCATGGCTGCTGCTTCCGCCTCGGCTACCCGACTAGCCGCCGACGCTAAGATGCTCTGGGATCCAGCCGATAGGCGATCTCCGTCGCTGCCTTCGGAGCTCGTGTCGACGGGCTCGTCCTCTTTGATGAGGGACGACTTGAGGGCATCCGAAGCAAGTGGTCGAGCATTGTGCTCGGCTTGTGCTCGTGCAGCAGCAACTGACCGAGCGTTGTGTTCGGCTTCTGCTCGCGCGGCTGCAGCAGCGGCCGCCTGGGCATCGGCGCGAGCTCTAGCTTCAGCACGAGCTTTCGCTTCGGCGGCCCGCTTCAACTCGGCCTTTCGTTGCCGGTCTTTGGCCAGTGCCACGCGGAACTTGCGCCGAGCGACCCAGCCGCGAACCCGCGTCTGCAGCAGCACCGTGCCCGCCTTCATAACGCGGAATTGCCGATGGGACGTGTGCATGCGGACCATCGACTGGACCAAGACGGCGGCGGCCTTGTGTGCTAGGAACTTCTTTCGCTTGGCATATCCGCGCATGTGCGCTTGGATGATGGTGGCTTGGGTGCGCAATACGACGGCCCGTTGGTCTTCCAAATGCTGCAACAGCCCCGAGCTAAAGTACACTTTGGACTTGCCGATGGCAAACTTGGCGTTTTGAGTCGAGTCGGTGGTTTTCCCTAGCAACTTTTCCAGCAACCCCATGACCATCACGGCCGGGGCGGCATGCCTCAACTTGGACGGACAGATCACGTCAAACCGTTTGGCAAACTCGACGAGGGAGAGCCGGTTCGGGAACGCCGCGCGACTGATGCGGATGGCGGCGATGACGCCGGCGCACCGCAACTGGTCCACGACCATCAGGCGGTCAAACTCGGTGGCGCTCTTGTTGGCGTTGGGTTTGATGCACCGGACGTACTGCGTCGTGGTCTTGGCGATCTGGTCCATGAGTTCCCCCAGCTGTTTCTTGAACGAATTGGCGATCGTTGCACCGACGAGGAACCCCCCGCCTTGTTTGCGAGCCTTGGAGGGGTGCTTGTGTTTCTTCGTGTCCTTGCGCGGCACGGCCAAGTCGGGGAACACGTCGCGAATGAACGACGACTCGCTCGACGCGAGCAAATCGAGCAAGTCCACCGGCAGCGTGTCCTTGTTCTTCTCGAGGAACCGGTCGCCGTCGTACGTGACGTCGCCGGCGTAATGCAGAATCTTGAACTGCATGGGGTTGGTGCGGACCTTTTCAAAGTTCTTGTGGTCCGCCGCGGCCGCGATCACCTTGCTCACAAACATCTGGTCCGTGCCCTTGGCCAGCACACCCGTCTCTTTGAGCAGGTCGATCACCCCCGCCCGCCCCTCAATCAGGTCCAGGATCGGCTGGTTGTCTTCGAATGACACGAGCTCCAACGGAATGCCCTCGGCCACGTACTCGGTCTGCACAGTCTTGAAGATATCGCTGTTGAACTTTTGCTGCAGCTTCTCGTTTGCGTAGTTGATGCACAGCTGCTCAAACCCGTTGTGGTCGAACGACTCGAACCCGAATATGTCGAGTAGCCCAATGTGATGCTTGACATTTCTCGTGGTGCTGCAGATCGCCTTGTTGATGCGCGCGACGAGCCAGTCAAACAGCTGCGAGTAAATCCCCTTGGCGAACGCGTCCCGCAGGTCCGCCGCCTGGTCGGCACTCAGCGGGATCGTAAACGTCTCGTCGCGCGCCGCCATCGTCCGGTGGGTCAGCGCACTCACAAGCGTTTCCTCCTCGGTCTGCAGCAGCTTGGCCACGGACGCCACGCGGTCCAGCGTCACGACCGAGCACTTTTCAGTCGTGTCGGCTTTGAATGAGATTTCCCCGAGGTTCAAAATCGAGCTCACAATCTCAAAGATGCCCCGCTGCTCCCGCGCGTCAATGCCGATCGTGTCCATGGCGAGCTTGGTTTCCTGCAGAAACACACTGTCGTCCGTGTTGTCGACCTTGGACCCGGCCCCCACGTGCACAAAGCTGTAGTCGGCGACGTCGCCGTCCAGGAACAGCTCGGCCTTGAGCTCCTGGGCCAGCGAAAACACTTGGTAGAAAATGTGGTAGTTGCGCTCCCCAACAGCCTGGCCCACCACGCGGCTCTTTTCGAGCAAGTACGTTTCGCATCGGGCGCCCACGAGCAGCCCCTCGGCGTTGAACTGGAGCTGGGCGAACTTGCCGAACCGACTGCTGTTGTCGTTTCGCTTGGTCTTGGCGTTTCCGAACGCTTCCAGCAGCGGATTCGACTTGAGCACTTGGTCAATCACCAACGACCCGTGGGTCCCGCCGCCAGAGATGGACGCCAAGTGGTTCATCATGATCTTCACCGTCTCCGTCTTGCCAGCCCCCGACTCGCCACTCACCAAAATGCTCTGCTCGATCCCGAGCTTGTTCATGTCAATGTACGCACTCGACGACAGTGCAAACGGATGTGGTGCCAAGTCGTTGCGCGGCAGGTTCAAGTAGTCGAAGTACAGGTCTTTGCTGTACAAGTCGAGCCACTTGTACGGGTTCACGGCAATGCAGATCTGGCCCGTGTACGTGTACGGCACAAACTGTGCGTGGCGAAGCTGCAAGTTCTTGAGCACCGCGGGCTCGTGCAGATGGTTAAGTGTGCACATGTCCTCGACGCCGAGCTTGTCGAACGTGTTGCAGATCGGCATCGCATTCGACGACACTTCGCCGGCCAACTTGGCGATTTCCCGCACGTCGTACGTCTTGATCTTGCCGTCCTCAGGGTCGTACTCGACGCCGTCAGACACAAAGCGCACTTCCACTTGTGTCTCGGACAACTTCTGAATGATCTGTGCTTTCTTCCATACCTCGACGGCATGCGGCACCCACACGAGGGCGCCCATGGACTTGTCCCCGAACTCTGTCATGTCTTCGTTGCTTGGGTTAATAATAGTTGGTCTGGCTTTTCACCGTAGAGGATGGCTGCTGCAGTGCTAACGTTAGTGCCAAATTGGGTGACGAGAAAATCGACGTCTCTGATTCTATTGGCCCCTCAGTGTCAAATTTCGATTTGTGGCTTCGATTCCTCTAAAACCGTCCTGCAGTCGTAAATATGGCGATGATTTCACGTCTATTTTCATAAATAAGGCAATTACAGGGCTACAAACTCGAAGTTCGAAAAAGCCATTGGCTACTTTTAGTAACGTTGCTGAACTTCGAGTATATACTGTATGTACAGTACTTCCCTTTCAATCATGGTAGTTGCGCTCCCCCACAGCCTGGCCCACCACGCGGCTCTTCTCGAGCAAGTACGTTTCGCATCGGGCGCCCACGAGCAGCCCCTCGGCGTTGAACTGGAGCTGGGCGAACTTGCCGAACCGACTGCTGTTGTCGTTTCGCTTGGTCTTGGCGTTTCCGAACGCTTCCAGCAGCGGATTCGACTTGAGCACTTGGTCGATCACCAACGACCCGTGGGCCCCGCCGCCAGAGATGGACGCCAAGTGGTTCATCATGATCTTCACCGTCTCCGTCTTGCCAGCCCCCGACTCGCCACTCACCAAAATGCTCTGCTCGATCCCGAGCTTGTTCATGTCAATGTACGCACTTGACGACAGTGCAAACGGATGTGGTGCCAAGTCGTTGCGCGGCAGGTTCAAGTAGTCGAAGTACAGGTCTTTGCTGTACAAGTCGAGCCACTTGTACGGGTTCACGGCAATGCAGATCTGGCCCGTGTACGTGTACGGCACAAACTGAGCGTGGCGAAGCTGCAAGTTCTTGAGCACCGCGGGCTCGTGCAGATGGTTGAGTGTGCACATGTCCTCGACGCCGAGCTTGTCGAACGTGTTGCAGATCGGCATCGCATTCGATGACACTTCGCCGGCCAACTTGGCGATTTCCCGCACGTCATACGTCTTGATCTTGCCGTCCTCAGGGTCATACTCGACGCCGTCAGACACAAAGCGCACTTCCACTTGTGTCTCGGACAACTTCTGAATGATCTGTGCTTTCTTCCATACCTCGACGGCATGCGGCACCCACACGAGGGCGCCCATGGACTTGTCCCCGAACTCTGTCATGTCTTCGTTGCTTGGGTTAATAATAGTTGGTCTGGCTTTTCACCGTAGAGGATGGCTGCTGCAGTGCTAACGTTAGTGCCAAATTGGGTGACGAGAAAATCGACGTCTCTGATTCTATTGGCCCCTCAGTGTCAAATTTCGATTTGTGGCTTCGATTCCTCTAAAACCGTCCTGCAGTCGTAAATATGGCGATGATTTCACGTCTATTTTCATAAATAAGGCAATTACAGGGCTACAAACTCGAAGTTCGAAAAAGCCATTGGCTACTTTTAGTAACGTTGCTGAACTTCGAGTATATACTGTATGTACAGTACTTCCCTTTCAATCACATTACAGTACTATTGTTAGTCAGTATACAGTAGTGAAAACCAGAGATTCAAATTGTACCCTTAACATATGTGAACGGGTTGAATTAGCGTTACTATATAGTATTCTTGAGCAATAAAATGACGTGACGTGTAAAGGAAGGTTTGTATTGCACGTATCAATCAATACTGAGTACCTCGAAGTAGTACTGTACATATTAATTATATTACTACCGGTACTTAAGATTTGAAGTATTAATCGTACTACCTGTACAGTACTACTACCTGTACAGTACTACGTACTCGGAGTTCTAGTAGTGTTAATAGTAGATGTACTTGTAGTACAGTGTACCAGTACAGTACCAAGCATGCCAGTACTGTATTAGGTAACGGTACCACCCGTTTCCAAGTTACCTGAAATACATACTCCGGAGTATTGTACTTCATTCAACACTGGGCGAGAATGCTGACGGTATTCGTTTCTAGTAACTTACAGCTGTTAATTTGTACCTCGAGAATTGATCCTCCATCTCATACCTTCAGCGAAATCTATTTCTGGGGATATGGCTTACTTGGAAGAGGCATGGTTTATATGACGGTACTGTACTTACTGTAATGCTTTAGGTAACGATGGATATCTTCACCCAGTGGTACTTCGATTTGCATTTAGCATTTGTATTGCTGGTTTAAACAAGTTGGCTTTGAGTGTAATGTTATTCTGGGACACTAGTAATTTGAGTATATTTAAGTATATTTACAATATATCTATTTCTCAAAATATGGTTAACAGTAAGTTCCACTATATGTAGATTTCCCTCGTTCTTGTACGGTATTAATAGGTACACCACTATTGTAGGGGACAATGGGGATGATACACCAGGTCGACGACGATAATTCTGTCAGTTTTAGTCCAGTTTTCATTCACCGAGAAACTCCATCAACACTAGACCTGCCAGAATATATTCATACTGCGTATTTGGTTTGAAGGTTTCATGTCCAATTCCATTGGATGAAAAATGTCCATTGTAGTCCAGTAATTTTGCATGCCAATCAATTTCCCACATATCAAAACACAATTGAAGAGGAAGGCGGAGATGCGCTGGTTGACGCCTCGTTGGACATGGATCAAGGTCCCATGGAGGCGCAAGGCGAAGATGCGCAGGTTGCCACCTTGTCGAACGCGGACCAAGGTCCCGAGCAGAATGCAACTCCTGCACTACACAGCGAAAATAGCTTTGGTGTTTGCTCGCCTGGTCGCCCCAAGATATTCTACGGCCGACCTCTACAGAAGCGACAGTACCTCCGCAGCAGCCATGACTACCAGGAAAAGCTAGAGGTTATAAACTTATATGCTTTGCACGGAACACTCACTCGATACTACCCTAAGCTTGTGGGGAACGACCGCACCAACATGTCCAAGAAAATTCGTGATTGGTTCAAACTCCGTACACAAGTTGAAGAAGTTGGGTACTCCTCGCGATCGAACTTGAAGAAAGTGCGCAACGTCGGCGTTGGAACCTCTTTGAACCATGACACCGAGGCCATTATTGTCCAATGGGTACAAGACATGCGCAACGAAGGCATTCCAGTGGCTACAATCATGCTCCAATTGAAGGCCAAAGAATTAGCCGAAGAGCAAGGAATTTCAGCCAATAAATTCAAGGCGTCACGCGATTGGTGCACTAGTTTCAAAACGCGCCATGGCTTCACGTTGAGACAGAAGACCAGACAAGGTCAAGACACACAAGAAGGATCCGATGAAGCGCTGGAGGCATTTAGTACTCATATCCATGAGGTACATATTTCTACACTGATACAATACTTGAAGTAATTACTTGTTTAGGTTATGTTAGTTAACAACATAACAAAGTGTTACAATGCTGACCAAACCGGCGTGTTCTATGAATACCTCCCGAAGTGAACGATCAATGCACGGGGTGTGAAGACTGTGTGGGTTCGTTGTGGGGGCAAGGACAAGGAACGTGCAACAGCAATGTTGCTAGGCGACTCAGAAGGAAACAAGTACCGGCTATTCATAGTTTTGAAGCAGAAAAAGTCCTCCGTCGCCACGACCGTCCACGCGAATATCAACGACAGGAATGGATTTGGCGTGTTCGTGTGGCGCGAGGTATTTCCTCTGATGGAGCAATGGCCGAGCAAGATCTACGGCAACCCCACCGCTTGGTGGAACGAGGACATATCTGTGGCGTTCCTGCGCTTCCACTTCGGCTCTAGGCCCAACATGGACGAGAAGATCTTGTTGATCTGGGATGACTTTTCCGCGCATTTTACGGATAAGGTATGACTTCATCCAATGGAAATAATTTATTCTAAATTTCCGGATAAGGTTCAAGATTGCGCCAATGAAATCAACGTGATTTTGGAGAAAGTGCCGCCCCGTTTCACTTGGTCGTGTCAACCTGCGGATGTCGCGTGGAACAAGCCGTTCAAGACACAGTTGCGGCGCTACTGGATTGACGCTCTCATGAAGCAAATACGGACGCACGATAATTCTGAGCCCTTCCGCATGGTCCCACCTGACCAGTCAACCATCGTTGCGTGGATCAACGAAGCGTGGACGGAACTGCTGCTGTCGACAATAGTAGCAGGTTTCCGTCGGACAAGGTGCGGCCGACCTGGATGATAATGACAAAGAGTCGCTCGATACGATTGCGAGGCAATTGGGTAGTATTGATATTGGTGGTGACATTGAAGTCGACGAAAGCATGGACATTTTTGATTAGTACTAATTGTAATACTTCGACTTGTATCATGCCAGATTTTGCATATTCAAAGGTAGTTTGCACTGTGAACGACATAACGATATGTTCGAGTTATTGTATGCACTTCATACCGTATATATTATGCTTTTAACACTATTGCAATGTACTCCAATGCCATCGGATTTTATCATTTGTTGCTCAATCACAAAGTTTGATATATTCATTTATGGGTACCTCATCCAACTTCTCTGTACAAGCGGTGGGTAAGTTTCTTTATCTTGTGTAAAGCGCGACTTGACGCGCCGCTGTGATCGGTCCATGTCCGACTTGGTCGCTTCCGATGTGTCAATTTGATCTAAATGGCAATAAAGTTAGAAACAATCAATGATATATGCATATTCAACTTCCCTGAATCAGCGCTATGTTCGCTGCCAGTTTGGATATATCGCCGGCGTCGGTGCGGCGTCGGTGCGCATGTCTTCCTTGAACGCTCCACGTGTGGCTTTGGCGGGTCGTTGAGTGGTCGACCTATGTTTGGCAGTGTAAGTATATGGATGACGCGATGAGATACCAATGCGTTCGCTCTTGGTTTCGTAGTCTTGATGGTGTGGGGTGGGTGACGCGCTGTCGACGCATGGTGGCCTTCGCTGCACTTCCCAAAATGCAACTCGTCGTTGAATTTCACCGTAATACAATATAACTCTCTGTATTGATATCCTTAAAAAAAATTGACTTCAATGCCCAAGTGCTCTCGATGTGGCTTATCTTAAAATTTGTATGCAACTTACAATTTACAAAGGGAGAGGATCAACCAAGTACCACTATCCTGTGAAAACTTGAATAAATTTTTAATTGTGGGCGCAACTTTTGATTTACGCAATACGGTATATTCCTCGCCAGATTCTTCACCAAGCAAGAAAGCTACGTCGCCGTCTCGGCCACCGCTATCCGAATCGGAATCACTGCCGGCCAAAGGTATCTCATCATCATCCACTTCAGCATACTTATCCTCAAATGCTTGTGCTTTTCTATGCGCAGACACCCATTGGGAAGAAATGACCTCACCCATGAATTTCTTCAAGCGAGCGTTCATGACCACCATCGCCGTCGACAACCGGCGGGCCATCTATTGCTTCACGATGCCCCAAATGATCTCTATCGGCTGCAACTCATGGTGGTACGGTGGAGTGTAGTACATGGTATGGCCGTACTCAGTTGCAATGAGCTGGGGGGCGTACCGAGGTCCATCGCGGGACGTCTTTATCATCACAAGCAACTCAGCTTTCGTCAGCTTGGGGTCGACATCGATACCTTTGGCCGCGAGCCACGCTGGAATGTCGGCCCACCGGCTGGACACCTTGGCGCACGGATTCGTAATGCGTTTGTGGTAACATGCGCCGTCTATGTGAATGTTGCATGCCCCATGATTTTGCTGCAACGACTCTCACAGCTTGGCGAACCAGTCCTCGAAAATCTCGCTTGTAAAGTTCCCAAGATAGTCATCGTCTCCACATCCGCCACAACAGCTCGCTTGCGTTTCGACTTGCGCAAGAAAAGCCACGTGAAGATGGATCCGTTGACCCACTCACCAAATAGGACACTGTTCTTTGTGCCCACGACTCCAGCTACGACAATACACATACGATGGCCTGCCACTCTTAGAGTTTCGCTGCTTCGTTTCGTCAACTCATGTGTTGCACGGCGTGTGGTTGAGATTACAGTAGAATCGTCGAGGAACACTTCGGGTGCAACGACGTGATTGTTGTCGATACGGTTCGCTAACTTCTTGCGGATGTTCTTTGCTCGGAAGGCAACATTTCCTTCCGACTCGGCGAGGTAGAACCGAGTCTTGCCTTTTTGGTACCTGAAACCCATCCGTCACAAAACTCGGCGGAGAGTGCGCTTGTGTACGGTCACCCCGTGCACGTCTTCCAGTGGTCTTGGACAACGACTCGGCGGACACAGGCAAGCATTGTTGGTTAGCAGCGGCAATGATGTCGCCGAGTTCCGTTGTTAAGTGGTCGGCGGGTGATCGCCGATTTGACAGGCGTACTCGCTGCGAGGCTTCGAAGGACGGGTCGTGGTTCTTCCTCCATTCGGCAATGGCGCGCCCAATCGTAGATTGGCCGAACCCCAGAAATTCACTGACGCTCTTCTTCACTTTGGATTGTGCTCCGGCTGGGTTACTCTCCTTGCATTGCATGAAGTACTTACTGGTGGCACTTGACCACCAAGAGCTTTTCGGCAGGAAAGAGCGTGAGTTTTTTCTCCATAACTTTTTTGAATGAAGTCCAAATGCAAATGCGAGAGATGCTAACATTTATCGGATGTATGGGTGGCGAGTTATGGCACTCGTGACGAAACCTTGTTCTTGCTGTCCACTTCACGAAATAGTATTGGTCTACGTACTGTCGATTCCGATTCAGAAACAGCATCGAATCGCTGTCAGACTGCAAATCGACTGATCTTGCGTCGCCAAGATCCCGCGATCCAACGGCTAGGATGTCGTTGTCGTCTGCTGCCTTTGGCTCGAGGACAGCCTCGTCCACGACGAACGAGTCGGGTCACACGTCCTGCTTCTTCATCTACTTGATCTGGCCCTGTCCACCGAGTAGTTTACAGCTCTCTTTTGCGCATGGGCATCAAAACGACAACATCCCGACACGCACCCGGGATTCAGCTCCGTCAATACTATTATCAAGACTCTGAATATGATTGATGCCTAGGAGTACAGTACCTATTTCACGATATACTTCGAAATATATATGCTTTACGAAATATATCTGCCGGATACAATTGGAGATACGAAACACGAAATTTCGTAAACCAAGATACAGGATATAATTTGATTTGACATTTGTATACAAAAATTATATCGAGAGATATACTTCGGAGTAATGGGTTTTACGAAACAAAACGAAATTTTGTATCCGGAGACAGTTTCAGAGTCATTATTTTGCAATGCAAGCACACGAGTGGACGGCCTCTGTGGCGCCGCATGCCGAGCACAGAACTCCAGGTAAATGTAGACGACGCGTTAGTAGTTCAGCATGCGTTTACCAAGAACGACCAAGTGGGGAAGAACTGTACCCCTCGCCACGACTTTGCAAACCCTGAAAATCCAGCAATTTGTCCGATTCTGAGGTCCATTCTTTTTCATCGAATTAGTGTACCACAATATATATATATTGTGCGATTAGTTTGGTTGCACTGATTTTTACACGAGGCACCCAACATGGACGATCGACAAACCTTGTTTTTGGAGAAAACGCGGGCGAACGATTTTCAGCGTGGCTGTCAAAGACCTGTGGATTGCACTCCGCTGAGATGTCGTCGTTTGGTCTTTTAGTTAAAGACATCGGCACGCACTCGTTTCGAAAGGGTGTCGCCAGTGAGCTATCTAACACACCTGGGGGACCAGAAGCCGTGCATGTGTGGCTCCGAGCCGGTCGGACGCTTGGAAGTGTCCAAGTTCGATACATCTTTGCCAGTTCAGGTGGCGGCCAGTTCGTTGGACGTGCAGCAGCAGGTAGTCGACGTTCAATATTCGAGCTTTAACCTAAACACATGCGTGCATAATTAAATATATACTTATCATCACACTAGGGCACAATATGAAGGACAATGAGTTTTTGTGCCTGCCTCCGCACTTCAAAGATGTTGGGCTGAGCAACGAGCGGTGGAAAGCTGCCCTGCCCGGTACAATACATTTGACCCCAGCTCGTTTTGCCAAATTACTCCGTTCTTGGTGGCATCGTTCTAGCACAATTACATTTGACTGCAACACAATTTGGGCAAACACCATCCGCTATTTTTGGCCCCAATTTGGACGTCTGGGTCACTATCAAAGTTAAACGTCAAAGTTTAAAAGAGCCGAATGCACAACTCAACAACTAATTTACAATCCTCCGGCATCTCACCCTACGTTGCTATCACAAAACGTCTGGTTACGGTTGAAAACCAAGTAAAATTGTCAACGAACAAATCAATTATTTATCGTCCAAAATTTGTGACCAGCTACGCGCAGGCCCCTCGGCAACCACGACTCAAATACACCACTTGATGGGGGCGTCCACGTCCCCAGAACCCCCAGCCAGTGTCAACGGCGTCGCTACAGAACCTCGGTGAACCACCACAAACTCTCAGGAACAACTCACGCCCTCCCTGCCCCCAGGGAAGGTTTGTGACCTGTGGAACGTGTGGTAGTGGTACGGCTTACCTGGTGATGGCATTGTGCCCCTGCGACTCGTGCAGCTTCAGTACCTTCGTCGCCGTTGCGGCCGCGTGAACTACTCCAAGCTCAAACGAGTCATTGCATCATTCATGAAGTTCTGAACTGTATTTGAAACCGAAGTCCATCTTATGGCCGTGGTCGGCCTTGTTTGCATCTTGCCTTGAGCGGCTTGGCCATTAGCTGCTAGTCGTAGTGATGTAGAACGAGGTAAGCAAGCGTAAACTAGATGATATGACGTACCCAACTATGTATGATCTGATCAAGAAGTATATCTATTACTCTGACATTTCCTCGTATATGTCCAATATACTTCGTCAAATGCTCAAATTTTACCACCATACTGGCGACATTCGGCGGGTCGCTCGGACATCGGCTTAAGGCAAGTGGAGGTAAACAGTAGTCTAGTTGGCGTGGAGGTAGCTCCACAGGCCCATAGCATCAAAGGTCCGACCGTGGAATGGTCATCTATAAATAGTTCTTCTGGTAACAAAGACACGAGCCAGAAAATACCGGATAACCAAAACTAATCCACCAATAGAATCTATGAACCGGAAACACTTTCGAGAGAAGTGACCAGAATTGCTCGGAGCGGGATGGCTGCGCACCCCGGAGGATGTACTGGCCCTACCACATGATGGAGTGATTAGTATCGCCGTTTTGGATTCATCGCGGCACAGTCGCTGGCACAAGGGGACGGTGCGTTCACTGGGGTGTTCGGTCGTCCTGTGATGACTCTTCTGTCTTGCCATGATGGGGCAACATGGGGTTGCCGACGGGGTGGTCCGACCATGTCCAATCATGCCGCAGGTATGTATGTGTGTGCATGTATGTATGTTATATGTATTATTACTCATCTCGATAGTCGTGTCGTAGCATCAACGTGTTGTCTGAGCCGCCGCTTGCAGCCGCCGTGGCCCACGGGATTTGGTCGCTCGTGGGCCACAAAGCCACTGCACGTGCCGTGGTTTGAGTCGTTGCTTGGCCCCATCTACGAAGGGACACGGTGGGGCAACATGGGGTTGCTGACGGGGTGGACCGGCGATGTCCAATCACGTCGCCGTATGTACGTACTGTACTGTATATGCTTGCATGTGTGTTGCATGAACTATATTCTCGTGCAGTAGTATATATATATGCGTGCATGTACTGTATATGCTTGCACGTGTGTTGCATGAAATATTCTCGTGCAGTAGTATATATATATGCATATGAAATGACGTAGTTATGAACTATATTGTCGTGTCTTAGGATCAATTTGCCGTTCAAACCAGGTACGTCGATGTATTCTTGTACTTATGACGATGTATATATATATATTCGATTACACTGACATTATGTTTGTCTCGATGTCTACAATGTCGTGTGTGTGTGGCGGCGCAGGATCCAATGTCAAGCCAGACGCACGAAGTTCGCGGTAATGCATGATCTTTGCATTGACACACCAGATCGATGTAACCTTTGTAGTTCCTTCAACACCGCGTTCGATCCACTTGACCGTACGTCGTGATCACGTAGGAAGTCCAAGAGACCAGCTTCCGCGCTGGCACCAAGCGCGATGACATCATCTCGGTAGGTTGGGCGTGCTTCATCCAAGATAAATCCGTTTGGTAAGAAAAGGTTTATGTACGCGACCAGATGTCGAGCAACATATTTCTTCTGTTTTGGTGTGTTGCTAGTAGCATGTAGACGAGGTTCAAGCCCATACCATTCGAACCACGTTGTTCGTAGCGACTTCAATGAGCTTTGACGGTGTTTCTTCGTGGCGGGGATCGTGTCGGTGGTTTTGTGGCTCACGGATTCTCGTTTCTTGTAGTCGCCGCGACCTTCCAACTTTGCCTCCAGGGCTTGGAGCCGTTCTTCTTGGCGCCGCCCTGCCTGAATAAAGCTTTCGATGAGGGCTGACTGGTGACGAATGACGCCTTGTTCCGCGGTCTCTGTCGTTGAAGTTGGGTATTGTTGCAGCCTCTCGGCCGATTGTTGGATCGTTGGTGCTGTCGTCAAGTGCGATGACCACGCCAGCAGGTCTATCTCGCAGCAACCCGCAAGCCGCGTGCACGCTTCTAGGCGAAGTACAGCACGCCCATGCGCATTGAGCTCCTTCAAACGGGGGTAGTGGCGAAACAGGTAAGCCGTCAGTGTGTCCACCACACGTCGGTTGAGGTTGAGCGTAGGCCCATCGAGACCAGAACACGCCGCGAAAAGGTGGGTTTGGACGTCGCGAATACGATCTCGACTTTGGGCGTCGAAAATACCCAGGGACAGAAGAGGGACAGCTTCGGAAGTCGTCCAACCGCTGAGGTGCTTGGGGACCTTGTGATCTTCGCTTGACGTGTTGAATATGTAGTTGAAGCCCTTGTTAGTGGCCGAAATATTCCACGCCCCACGATCGAAGATCCACCTTGCCGTCAAGTGCTCCGAGCCATTGGCATGCTCTGCCCCCCCGCGACGAAAGGAATGTGATGACAACTTGTGATCAACGCCAGAGGGTCCACCGATACGTCCAAGAATTCGATTGACATGGCTGTGAATAGTAGGTGAGCTCTTGGTCGTTGACTCTTTTTTTTCGAACTCAATAACGCCAGGATTCTGTAGAACCTCGATCAATGCAGTTGTTGGGCCAAGGTTCGAAGCTGAGGATGAAGACTGAGTTTGTAAGTTGTCGATGACGTTTGCACATGGCCCGCCTTGACAAATGGTTGCCAACGCCATCGCCAGCAACGGACACGTAAGGAAGTCATTATCCGGGAATATGGACATTCCCTGTTCCTCGCTCGTCTTAACTCGTACGAAGCGTAGGAAAAACACACCGCCAGCATCAATGGACACGTTGTTCTTCCGCACCATTGCCAAGTCGGATGCCCGTCCAAGCAGATACCACAACAAGGCCAACAGGGATGCGTATTGATAGTCGCTGCATGAGGTCGCGCTCTTATATACATAAGCATTTGCTTTAAGTAATCCTTGGTTCACGCAGCTGCCTGGTTCACTACCACCCCGCCGTCTTTCTTGGCGCAAAAGTTCTGTAGTATCTTGCCCACTCGGAGTATCTTGGAGTCGACAACAGGCTGTAGGTGGGGGAACTCGTCGAGTAGGATCATCTTCGCTTGTCGGAAGTACTGGATGCATGAGTTCTTTGATAGCGGTACCCCGGGTGACTTTTCACATGCAGCAAGGTACATAGCAAACTTCTCCATGACCGAGGCAAAACATTGGCCTGTTGTATCCTTTCGGATGCAATCCTTCGCATGGTTCTCTTCCACGCTCTCGGACTCGAGGAACTTGCGGAAGGACTTGATACCCGAAGCTCTGGCATTCACCGTTGACCTTGGTCGCAGGCGGTCCATACTTGGTATGAATCGGGGTTGCTATATTATTGACCAATTATGGGCTCAGTCGGAGGTTGCCTGATTATGTACTACCTCTGGTAGGAATTAAGTGCAGGCAAACATTCAATGCAATACAAAAACCAAGTAAAACGAATCTGTATTTAAAAAGTTTACACTACAGTCGAGAGTACTCATTCTCGTAGTACAATCTCATGTCCAGATTGACCAGTTCTTTTGGCTCAGTTGGGAGCGCATCTACTTATAGATCACTTTACACCTGATCTAAGTAGGACAAGGACTTATAGATCACTTTACACCTGATCTAAGTAGGACAAGAACTCACCAATGGTTGCTGGTTCAGTCCCAGGCGACACCAGGAAGCCTAGTTAGAGTCGAGTCAGAACCACCCCCTTTCACTACACCTACTACCATGACCTGCATCAGGTCACAGGCATCGTTCATGCGATCCTCTGCTTCCAGGCGCGTATCCATCAATTCCAATGCAATCGAGTCATCTTCAGTCACATCGCTCCGAGGGATCTTGTAGCTGTTCTCGCCATTAACCCCAACAATCGCATGCATTTCCCGTCGCCGGGTTCGAAACGTCTTCTCCAAAGTCAATGATGGCAGACAATTGAACAATTCCTTGACAGGTCCTCCATGGACCGACATTTCATTTGCTGCTACAGTGACTGTATAGAGTTGAAGAAGCCCAGGTCTAGAACGTTCAGGTCCTCAGTCGCCGGACCTGAACGTTCGAGACCTGGGCTTCTTCAACTCTATTGTGCCAACCAGGTCTAGGTAGAACGTTCAGATCCTCAGTCGCAGGACCTGAACGTTCTAGACTTGGCTGGCACATTAGCAGGATGTTCCAACCACCATCAGTTGCCGCTTGAACTAACAAGGCATCGTCGACAGCAATGTGTTCCATTTGTGCTTACTTGCTGAAGCTGTTGGTACAGCGCCATGCGCTTGTCGTTCGTCAAATTTGACTTGGAATTTGTATTGCGAGCAGACTTGGAGTCGTAGCAAGTGCAAATATGGTCATATAATTCAACAAAAAATATGATCAGAATCGCCTCAATGAAACGAACACGCTCCACTAAGTTTTAGGCCAATCGGATAACTGGAACACTAATTTTTGTCACCGCCTGCACTTAATACCTACCAGAGGTAGTAACAATTATGCGTTGACCTTCATTTTTGTATGCTCATATTGCATATCTTTTGAAAGGTCCGACCACTAACGCATATGTGACCTCCACTTGAAGATGGTGTATCACAAACCGATACTATTGGACAGAAATTATATGATGAATACGTATAATTGGCTAGTTCAAAATTAATGATTTATGATTGGCTAAAATTAGTCATACAAACAATGACATTAGAGCAATTTAGCAAGCCGGGAATTTGAGTCAAATTCCAGACTTGACTCGAGGACATGGACACGTACACTTCGATAGTTGCACTATGATTATCCGAAATCACACGGATAACGATAAAGCAAAATGTGCATCACACCCGCGGCACGAGTCCTCTTGAGATCAGCATGCCCAATGCTGCTAAAGCTGCGTCTGCTCCGTGCACTACGCCGTCGGGGTGGCCGACATGATCGTATACCCATCCCAAACGTTCGGTTTAACCTCGCAAAGTACAACGATGCAGAATGCTTGGCCAAATTCCGCTTTGTCCGTGCGGACATCCTTCGACTGGTGCACTGTTTCCGCCTACCTCGCTCATTTGCTACAACGGAGCGGACAAGGTGCTCCGATGTCAAGGCTGTTTGTGTTCTTCTCCGGCGACTCGCTGTGCCAGACCGTTGGATCGATGTAATCGACATTTTGGCCGGTCACCGAGTTCCCTATCCAACATCTTCCTGTTTGTGGTGGACCATGTGCACGACAAGTACAAGGAAATTCTATTCCTTGACCGTGAACGAATTGCCCCCCAACTCGCTCGTTTTTCCCGTGCGGTGGCCAACAAGGGTGGCGAAGTTTACAACGTGTGGGGATTTGTTGACGGCACCGTACGGGCATGTTTGCGGCCGACGAATGGGACCATGCAGCGAAGTGTGTACAATGCACACAAGCGAAAACGCGCGCTGAAGTTCCAAACGCTGGTTACCCCGGACGGAATTGCCCACGTTTTTGGTCCCGTGGAGGGCCGTCGGCATGATCTAACGATTTTGAGGCGCTCCAACTTGGAGGCCGTGTTGCGTTCAGACAAGAGGTTCGACGGCTACATCATTTATGGTTACCCCGCCTACGGTAAATCTGCTCACTTTGCGTCCCCATTTGGTGGTCGAAACATCAATGTTGCCCAGAAGTATGTGAACAAGAGCATGAGCAATGTTCGGGTCAGTGTTGAGTGGTCGTACTCCCAAATTGTTCGGTACTGGTCTCATCTGGACCATCGCACCAAGATGTGTCTGGGGACGTCGCCGATCTCAAAGCTGTACAAGGTTGCAATTTTATTGACGAACTGTGTACCTTGTTGCCGAAGATGCAATGTCAACAGCGTCTATTTTTCTCAAGAGCCACCAAGCTTAGAAGAATATCTTAACTGCGCTGACTAACATGACATCAATTTCAATTTTCCGTGAATGTTAAAAACCATGACGTACAACAATTCATGACAGCACTGAGTAAATTTCCCAATTTATCAATCAGCTTCTCTAGCAACATGGACATATGTCTTTGTTCAGCTCGCCGAATCTCCTGTTCGTCCTGCTCGAATTTCAGCCTTTGCATTCGATAGGCGTGGTCGTCGTCGTGACGCTTGGTCTCAAACGCCAGCAACAAGTCCGTGGGCTCACGACTGGCGTCCCGCTTGGAGACCGTCGGCGCAACGCCAAGTGCCATCCGCTTTGAGACCCACTCCTCTGCCTCGCTGCATGCTTTCTCGCCCGCTAGTTCCAGCTCGTCTTGGCGATCTTGCTCGTTCTCGTGCTTTCTTGTTCGCTTGCTCTTGCTGTCTTCGCGTATGTCCAATACGTCTTGTTTGAGCTTTGTCATGTCGTCATCGTCTTCATAAACGCCAGAGGCACGCATGCTTGCCTGGTTGTCACGGGCAAAGTCGTGGAGAATTGTGTCGCATCGGGCCTGGCAGATGCGGCCAGAGAGATTGGGATCGTACTCGTGCATGGCAACGGCTGCCTTGGCCCACGTTGCAGTGACTTTGCCATGCCCTACTTCGAATGGCCCTAGTCGTACAACCTCCTTAAGTAGTGCCTCGTCCATTTCGCCCGTCCACAGAATCTGCTTTATGTCCTTCCTTCCCATCGTGCCAGCAACACAGACTTTTCCGACTTGGCACGGCGAAGTCGGTAGGGAAATTGAATTTACCAGCTCTCGCCAGTGATTTTACCGACTTGCTCGAACTTCGAAGCATTACAAATTCGAATTTGCAAGTCGGGAATTTGAATTTTCGACTTGCTAAATCGCTCTATTGGTCGGAACTTTCGAATTATTCATCCATCACCTAGTTTTACAAAACGAAAACATCCGGATACGCATCCGGGATTCGGCTTTGTCGATAATATTATCAAGACTCTGAATATTCTACGTAAGCTTACTACATATCTGTTTGAACATATTTCACGAGATGTTTGCACTACCGGTACGTAGTGCAACAGCCCCACGAAGGTTTCAGGTGCTCAACCTGACTTGGTCATTGTATTTAGTCACTATTTCTTGGCAATTCGACCCACTCGAGGTGTGCGAATCTGCCTCACGCAATCCACGAACAAC